TGCTGTCTGCAAGGTACTTGCAGAACCAGGAGCCTGAATCTTACCTCCACGAGGTGGTACTGCCGAGCTGATTTCTAAACAGTGGCAAGAAGCCGCGCACAGCAAGGCTAACGGCTAACTGGGAGAGAACCAGATCTCCCCCAGGCTCCTGAGCAGCAGGACTAGGTGGGCTGGGGGTGCTGGGCTGGAAGTGGAGAGAGGGTGGAGAGCGGGACGGCTGGGCCCTCAGGGCTCTGCCTGCTGCTGTGTCTTCCAAAAGCCCTCTCATTTGTCCACAGTCGGACTATGGGGAAGAGGAGCTGTTCATCTTCCAGCGAAACCAAACCGCCCTGATTCCAGACCTGTCAGAGGAGCTGGCTGAAGATCCTGCCGATGGCGACAAGTCCAGGACCTGGGCCGCTGCAGCTGAAGAATCCCTTCCCGAGGTCTGTGGGACACAGAAGAGTGTGCGCCTGTGTGTGTGCAATGTAAGTCTAAACTGACTGATATAAACCACTGGTCTAGCATTTCCATGAAACCCAGTCCTTTTTTTTGTCCCGTGTACAACCCAAGGTATTCAGATGCCCAACATCTAACCTCCACACACCTCCCTCTCCCGGGGAGCCCAGCACCTTAGGGCTGGTGTGCGGACTTGATTTGCCATCTGATTTTGACCCTCCTCTTCCTCGCTCCTATCCTGTTTTCTACCATGGCATCCTGAATAGCTTCTGGCCATTGTCATGACTGATTGTCCTAAATATCTCTCCCTTAATCCAGCTGGCTTCATGGCTACCTGGCTCATCCCAGCACCTGGCAAGTACACAGGAACTCTGGTTTACTAACCTGCTAAACTAAACTGCTACAGGCTACCGTGGGGAGTGGGAGGGAGGAAGATGGCCCATCAGTGCCTGAGCAAGCACAAAAGCTGGACCTTGCAGGAGGGACACCCCAGGAGACAGTGAGCAAGTGTGGACTAAGCATGCCAACACAGGCCTGCGGTGCCAGTGCTGCACACTGAGACAGATGTTCCCATGAGGCCAGAGTTTGAGACCCCTGGGCAATACAGCAAGACTCCATTTCTGGCTGAACACAGTGGCTCATGCCTGTAATCCCAGCATTTTTGGGAGGCCAATGTGGGTGGATCACTTGAAGTCAGGAGTTTGAGACCAGCCTGGTCAACATGGTGAAACACTACCTCTACTAAAAATACAAAAATTAGCTGGGCATGGTGGCAGGTGCCTGTGATCCCAGCTACTCCAGAGGCTGAGACAGGAGAATCGCTTGAACCCCGGGGAGCAGAGGTTGCAGTGAGCCAAGATCACGCCACTACACACTCCAGCCTGGGCAACAGAGTGAGACTCCATCTTAAAAAAAAGAAAACAGTGTAGAGGCACTAACCCACTTCCAAAATGGGGGCGGGGCCTAGCTCCAGCGTCACTTCTCTCAGGTATTCTGCTGAGAACCATTAACCTACTGAATGAAGGGGGCACAGGCACTGAACCAGATGATCTCACAAAACCAGGACATGCCCCCAGCCACCCATCACCTTGAAGGAAATCCCCCATCAGCCCTGCCATGCCTAGACCTAGGTCTGAAATAACCCCACACAGGAGAGATCCCCAGGGTGGCTAAGAACTCCGGTGGGTTCAGGTGGAACGATTTCCATGTGGATTTTATTTTGCTTCTTCATTTCTACAATCAATTACTTCAGAAACTCTTCTGGATTATTTTCTTTCTTTTTTTTTTTTTTTTTTTTGGTAATGTGAGATCTCTACTAAAAAATAACTGGGTGTGGTGGTATGCCTGTGGTCCCAGCTACTCAGGAGGCTGAGGTGGAAGGATGGCTTGTACTCCAGCCTGGGGTGTCAATTTCTGAGCCCCAACATGATCATTATTGAGAATGTAAATATTGTTCCATTGCTGTGACAATACATTCCTCTCTAGCCTTGTATTTAAATAGTGGGAGTCCGCAGTGATGTTGTCTTTAGCCAACCCATATTCAACAGCAGCTTTCCAACTGTCTTTTTTTTTTTTTTTTTGAGACAGGATCTTGCTCTGTCACCCAGACTGGAGGACAATAGTGCCCTCACCACTCACTGCAGCCTCCACCCCCTGGGCTGAAGCGATCCTCCCACTTCAGCCTCCCAAATAGCTGGGATTACATGCATGCCACCATGCTGGCTAATTTTTGTGTTTTTAGTAGAGTGAAGTGTCCAGTTAAAAATGGTTGAAATAGGTCAGGCACAGTGGCTTATGCCTGTAATCCCACCACTTTGGGAGGCTGAGGCAGGAAGATAGCTTGAGGCCAGGAACTTGAGACCAGCCTGGAAGACCAACTATGTTGCAGAGACTCCATCACTACAAAATAATATTTAAAAAAATTAACTGGGCCTGGTAGTATGTGCCTGTCATTCTAGCTACTTGGGAGGCTGAAGTGGGAGGATCGCGTGGGCCAGGGAAGTCGAGACTACAGTGAGCTATGATCACACCACTGCACTGCAGCCTGGGCAACAGGGCAAGACTTCACCTAAAAAAAAAAATTATGCACATATTTTACTATGAAAAAAATTCCCTGAAGCATGTTTTGGAGGATGCTAACTGAACATACCTGTTTTCTCGACAGCCAGTTCTGGTGCCTGCAGAATTGGCCACAGAACCTGGGAACAGACGGAACACAAGGACAAAGGATGCATCCTCTCAGGAAGGAAGAGACCCTGGCAGGCCTGTTGAAAGCTCTGGTGAGGTCAGCGCTCTTCTTGGGATGGCCGAGGAGACCCCTAGGTGGCTGGACAGCGACCTTGGAAGCCTGTCTTTCAACACCAAAGGATCCCAGGGTCCTCCCTGGGACCCACAGGCCGAAGCCAGTCTCTCCCGCCATGAAGGAGACCCGAAGGCAGAGCCCGCCTCACAAGAATCTGTGAACCGCCGGGCCCTCCGACAGGAGAGAAGGAAAATGATAGAGAAGGACATCCTCCAGAAAGTCACCCGGGATGCCTGCGGCCCGGCCAGCAGTGACCAAGGCGGGGTGAAGGATGCGCCCTGCCACGCTGTGGAGTCAGCTGCCAGATCCAAAATGCCCCTTGCGGAGCCTCCGGAGGGACCACCAGTGCTCTCGCTCCAGGTAGGCGCCTCCGCGTGCCTGGCTCTTTCTCAGGCCTGTTACCTGCGGCATGGCTGCTGTTCCCATGCACTGTGGCTAGAAGCAGCTTGAGGGCTGGCCCACTAGGACCTTAGGCCCATTATCCACTATTCTGTGTACTTGTCTCAGCAGAGCGGTTGGGGGGTCCCAGCAGAGCACATCCTTGGGTGGGGGTTAACAAGAAATAGAACAAGCAGGGCCTGCCTTCTTTAAAGAGACAAAATTAGGCCAGGCACAGCGGCTTGCGCCTGTAATCCCAGCACTTTGGGAGGCCGAGGAGGGAGCCCAGGAGTTCGAGACCAGCCTGGTCAACACAGTGAGACCCTCATCTCTAAAAAAGAAGTAGTAATGTATAAATTTAAAAAGAGAGAAAAAAAGGAATTCCACTCGCAAGGATGTTTATAAATACATAGAGCCATATCTAAAATATAGAACCTGGTTCTGTCAAAGCCTGATCTCAAAATATGAAAGCCGTCATTCTCATAAACTAGTGAACACCTGTTCCAGAGTTGTATTCAGTGCGTTAATGAGGGAACCAGCAGGATGACAGAGCCAGTTTAATGAGATCATAAGAAATTGGGATTTTAGCCGGTGTGGTGGCTCACGCCTGTAATCCCTGCACTTTGGGAAGCTGAGGCAGGAGGATCATCTGAGGTCAGGAGTTCGAGACTAGCCTGGCCAACATGGTGAAACCCTGACTCTATTAAAAATACAAAAATTAGCCAAGTGTGGTGGTGCACACCTATAACCCAATACTTGGGAGGCTGAGGCAGGAGAATCGCTTGAACCCGGGAGATGGAGGTTGCAGTGAGCCGAGATTGTGCCACTGCACTCCAGCCTGGGCAACAGAGTGAGACTCCATCTTAAAAAAAAGAAAACAGTGTAGAGGCACTAACCCACTTCCAAAATGGGGGCGGGGCCTAGCTCCAGCGTCACTTCTCTCAGGTATTCTGCTGAGAACCATTAACCTACTGAATGAAGGGGGCACAGGCACTGAACCAGATGATCTCACAAAACCAGGACATGCCCCCAGCCACCCATCACCTTGAAGGAAATCCCCCATCAGCCCTGCCATGCCTAGACCTAGGTCTGAAATAACCCCACACAGGAGAGATCCCCAGGGTGGCTAAGAACTCCGGTGGGTTCAGGTGGAACGATTTCCATGTGGATTTTATTTTGCTTCTTCATTTCTACAATCAATTACTTCAGAAACTCTTCTGGATTATTTTCTTTCTTTTTTTTTTTTTTTTTTTGGTAATGTGAGATCTCTACTAAAAAATAACTGGGTGTGGTGGTATGCCTGTGGTCCCAGCTACTCAGGAGGCTGAGGTGGAAGGATGGCTTGTACTCCAGCCTGGGGTGTCAATTTCTGAGCCCCAACATGATCATTATTGAGAATGTAAATATTGTTCCATTGCTGTGACAATACATTCCTCTCTAGCCTTGTATTTAAATAGTGGGAGTCCGCAGTGATGTTGTCTTTAGCCAACCCATATTCAACAGCAGCTTTCCAACTGTCTTTTTTTTTTTTTTTTTGAGACAGGATCTTGCTCTGTCACCCAGACTGGAGGACAATAGTGCCCTCACCACTCACTGCAGCCTCCACCCCCTGGGCTGAAGCGATCCTCCCACTTCAGCCTCCCAAATAGCTGGGATTACATGCATGCCACCATGCTGGCTAATTTTTGTGTTTTTAGTAGAGTGAAGTGTCCAGTTAAAAATGGTTGAAATAGGTCAGGCACAGTGGCTTATGCCTGTAATCCCACCACTTTGGGAGGCTGAGGCAGGAAGATAGCTTGAGGCCAGGAACTTGAGACCAGCCTGGAAGACCAACTATGTTGCAGAGACTCCATCACTACAAAATAATATTTAAAAAAATTAACTGGGCCTGGTAGTATGTGCCTGTCATTCTAGCTACTTGGGAGGCTGAAGTGGGAGGATCGCGTGGGCCAGGGAAGTCGAGACTACAGTGAGCTATGATCACACCACTGCACTGCAGCCTGGGCAACAGGGCAAGACTTCACCTAAAAAAAAAAATTATGCACATATTTTACTATGAAAAAAATTCCCTGAAGCATGTTTTGGAGGATGCTAACTGAACATACCTGTTTTCTCGACAGCCAGTTCTGGTGCCTGCAGAATTGGCCACAGAACCTGGGAACAGACGGAACACAAGGACAAAGGATGCATCCTCTCAGGAAGGAAGAGACCCTGGCAGGCCTGTTGAAAGCTCTGGTGAGGTCAGCGCTCTTCTTGGGATGGCCGAGGAGACCCCTAGGTGGCTGGACAGCGACCTTGGAAGCCTGTCTTTCAACACCAAAGGATCCCAGGGTCCTCCCTGGGACCCACAGGCCGAAGCCAGTCTCTCCCGCCATGAAGGAGACCCGAAGGCAGAGCCCGCCTCACAAGAATCTGTGAACCGCCGGGCCCTCCGACAGGAGAGAAGGAAAATGATAGAGAAGGACATCCTCCAGAAAGTCACCCGGGATGCCTGCGGCCCGGCCAGCAGTGACCAAGGCGGGGTGAAGGATGCGCCCTGCCACGCTGTGGAGTCAGCTGCCAGATCCAAAATGCCCCTTGCGGAGCCTCCGGAGGGACCACCAGTGCTCTCGCTCCAGGTAGGCGCCTCCGCGTGCCTGGCTCTTTCTCAGGCCTGTTACCTGCGGCATGGCTGCTGTTCCCATGCACTGTGGCTAGAAGCAGCTTGAGGGCTGGCCCACTAGGACCTTAGGCCCATTATCCACTATTCTGTGTACTTGTCTCAGCAGAGCGGTTGGGGGGTCCCAGCAGAGCACATCCTTGGGTGGGGGTTAACAAGAAATAGAACAAGCAGGGCCTGCCTTCTTTAAAGAGACAAAATTAGGCCAGGCACAGCGGCTTGCGCCTGTAATCCCAGCACTTTGGGAGGCCGAGGAGGGAGCCCAGGAGTTCGAGACCAGCCTGGTCAACACAGTGAGACCCTCATCTCTAAAAAAGAAGTAGTAATGTATAAATTTAAAAAGAGAGAAAAAAAGGAATTCCACTCGCAAGGATGTTTATAAATACATAGAGCCATATCTAAAATATAGAACCTGGTTCTGTCAAAGCCTGATCTCAAAATATGAAAGCCGTCATTCTCATAAACTAGTGAACACCTGTTACAGAGTTGTATTCAGTGCGTTAATGAGGGAACCAGCAGGATGACAGAGCCGGTTTAATGAGATCATAAGAAATTGGGATTTTAGCCGGTGTGGTGGCTCACGCCTGTAATCCCTGCACTTTGGGAAGCTGAGGCAGGAGGATCATCTGAGGTCAGGAGTTCGAGACTAGCCTGGCCAACATGGTGAAACCCTGACTCTATTAAAAATACAAAAATTAGCCAAGTGTGGTGGTGCACACCTATAACCCAATACTTGGGAGGCTGAGGCAGGAGAATCGCTTGAACCCGGGAGATGGAGATCACGCCCCTGCACTCCAGTTTGGGGGACAGAGCGAGACTCCATCTCAAAAAAAAAGAAATTGGGATTTTGTAAAACACTGGGGAAAGAGAGAGGAATGCAGAGATAACGCTTGCTACATTCATGTCCTAGAGGAGTTGTCTACTGGACAGAAAAGTAACCATCACACCTTCTCAGTTTTACAAATTTTGGAGAATTTTTCTTAACAGCTTAGAGAAAACTGGCATCAGGTATACACAGAAGTCATCTTTACTACTGTTTAAATCAACAGTTCTTTCTGTTCACCTAAAAACTTATTTTTCTCCACTTACAGGGCTGCAGAGAGTTGAAAGGTCATATGATAAACATGAATTCTTGATTAATTTCCTCACACTCACTCTGCCCCTAAGCACTCACTGCCAAGCCTTTCAGTTTTAGCTCCTGCTTGGAACAGCTTGATTCTTGAAAAAACAAAACTTTTTAACCTCCAAACATTCTGAACCTGTATGAACCTAAATAGTATTTCTTAAAACAACACAGGGTTTGGCTGGGCTCGGTGGCTCACGCCTGTAATCCCAACACTTTGGGAGACCCAGGCGGATGGATCACTTGAGGTCAGGCATTCAAGACCAGCCTGGCCAACATGGTGAAACCCCGTCTCTACTAAAAATACAAAAATTAGGCTGGGTGTGGTGGCTCATGCCTGTAATCTCAGCACTTTGGGAGGCGGAGGTGGAGGCGGGTGGATCACCTGCGGTCAGGAGTTTGTTCGAGACCAGCCTGGCCAACATGGTGAAACCCCGTCTTTACTAAAAATACAAAAAAACAACAACAACAACAACAACAACAACAAAAAACCAAGTGTGGTGGCACATGCCTGTAATTCCAGCCACTTGGGAGGCTGAGGCAGGAGAATCACTTGAACCTGGGAGGCGGAGGTTGCAGTGAGCTGCACTACACTCCAGCCTGGGCGACAGAGTGAGACTCGGTCTCAGAAACAAAACAAAAACAAAATGAAACAACACAGGGTTTCCTTCAGGTCAAACAACGTCTTTGTGCCAAAAGCAAAAGTAAAGTACTGATCTCCAAGAAAGCATAGGAAGGAGGTGGCCAAAGTGCAGGCCCACCTTAACAGAGGCATTCAATCCGTAATGGAAAGGTGGGGTCAGCCCATTTGCAAACTCTGTCATGCATTTAATTCCTGATTTCTACACCCCAACATCCTATGACCATCTCCATGGGTCACAGCAGCTGTGAAGCAGGTACTGTGCCCCTGGGGCCCCTCAGCATCCTCATAATCACTGGTTTTAATGATTTCAGCAACTTGAAGCGTGGGATTTGGATTACATCCTTCAGAGTCTGGCCGGGCAAGAAGACAACCAGGGAAATCGTGGACCTGGAACTGTGTGGTGGGCAGCCGACCGCCGCCAAGTTCAAGGTCTGACCTTGAACACTGGAGCCCACGTGAATCCCCATAAGCAGCACCTTCCTGGGCCCCTCAGGCTGGTCACAGACCGTCCTGCAGCCCACACGTGTCTTCCCTGCCGGCCCCGCCCTGAACATTCATGCTGCCAGTCCCTGAAAGACTTCATTCATTCAACATATATGTGACCACCTACTACGTGCCAGGCGTGGGCCAGGTCCTAGGGACAAAGGAGAGGCCTCCAGACACCACCCCATGACCCATACCTCCTCCTCCCCACCTCCCTGGGCCAGCCTTCCTTTCCTTCCTTTCCTTCCTTCCTCCCTTCCTCCCTCCCTCCCTCCCTCCCTCCCTCCTTCTTCCTGGGAGGAGGAAGCCCCACCTTCTGTGCACAGTCAGCTCCTAAGCACATTCCTGCTTCCCCTGGCCTCCCCATTTTAAAAGGCAGGCAAAGGATGTCACCACTGTCACCACACTCAGAGCTTTGCTCCGGGAAGTCCTGCAAATAAAATAAAAGCTCTCTAACCCCTCCCTACCCACTCGGTCCGCAAAGGCGAGGGGAGGCAGGTCTGAGGCAGAGGAGCCAGGGCAGGTGCAGAGCTTCTGCCTCTGATCCCAAAGCAAAGACTCCCCAGTGACTCACAACCCGTGCTATGTTAAATATCGTTTTGTTCATTTGTAATTCACACCCCATAAGGCAGGAGGTAGACAGCCAACCATTCTGGAGGGCGCGTGTGTGCGTGTGTGTGTGTGTGTGTAACTGGCACTCCCTTTATGGAGGGGAGTGCGGCAGAATGTATTATTTCTTTTTTTTGAGACAGAGTTTTGCTCTTGTTACCCAAGTTGGAGTGCAATGGTGCGATCTCAGCTCACTGCAACCTCCACCTCTCGGGTTCAAGCTATTCTCCTGCCTCAGCCTCCTGAGTAGCTGGGATTACAGGCACACACCACCAGGCCTGGCTAATTTTTTTGTGTTTTTAGTAGAAACAGGATTTCACTGTGTTAGCCAGGCTGGTCTCAAACTCCTGATCTCAGGTGATCTGCCTGCCTCGGCCTTCCAAAGTGATGGGATTACAGGCGTGAGCGACTGCGCCCGGCTGAACGTATTCTCTATTTTAAAGGCACATAACCCTTTGATCAAGCTATTTCACTTAGAAAATCTGTCTTACACTGTTACTGTAGTAGGTAGTGTGTGTTCAAAGATGTTTGCTGCAGTGTTGTTTAAAAATATGAAAAGCTGGAAACAGCCCATATTCAGTAGGAGTCCAGCTAGATCGTTTTAGCACAGAATACTGCGGCTAGTGAGGGGATCTCTGTAGGTTAACGTGGAAGCATGTAATATACAAAGTGAAAAAAATGAAGTTGAAAAAAAACCTATAGAAGATGATCCTATTGTTATTTTTTTTAAATCAGCACACAGAACTGTTCATTATGATCACCTGTGACAAGTGGGACCGGGGTGTGAGGAAGTGGGATAAACTTTTAAAACCACGTCACTCCTACTTCACAGAGCCCTTGTGCCACAGGCCCTGCTCATAAAGACTCTGCCCGCCTCAGCCCTGCCGAGCTGGAGGTGGAGTCCTCAGAGGGCTGAGTAGGGAGAGGGCTGGGTGGGGGCAGTGGAGGAACCTGAGGTCCGTTCACATGCAGAGACCCCAGGGGTCCTGAGGCTCAAGCTGCTGTAAGTGGGCCAAGTCCCCACTAATCAGCCTCTCCTTTGGCCATCCTCAGACCGCACGATGCCGAGCGCCGACGACAGGCTCATGGAACAGCTGGCCCTCCTGTGCACCATGCAGTCCAGGGCCTCTGCTTGTGCCTGGAAGGTGCCTGCCGACACCCCCCAGGACACCGAGGAGGCAGGGGCAGGAAGCAGGTGGGACTTGTAGCCAGGCATGGCTCCTGTGGTCCTTTACAACGGCCCCATGGTTTTGTAGCACTGACTGGGCCTACTAAGGGCGGGGCACTCCATGTGCATTTTCTCAGTCACAAGCATCTGATCAGGCAGTCACTCTTATCATCCCCATTTTAGAGATGGGGAAACCGAGGCTCACAGAGGTTGACTCCCTGGCCATAAATGGCAGGGCTGGGACTCAAGCCCTAAAATACCTGCTCTTTCCCCAAACCCAGTGGGAACCCTCCCTTCAATGGGAAGCCATGAGGCCTCCCTGGGAGTAGGAAGGTTATCACATGACCCTGCCCCTCTGGCCACAGCTGATTGGTCCAGCCTGGGGCATGTGACCCCGGCCATGGGATTTGTCAATCTCTGTGTCTCTGTGTAGGGGTGGAAGGGCAACAGCCACCTGTCCTGCCACAGGGAGAAAGGCAAGCTGCAGTGAAGCTGGGAGAGGCAGAGGTGGAGGCAGGGCCCCAGGGTCCTGTAGGGCCCCGCTATATGCCTGCACTCCCAACACTTTGGTTGTTCCAAACTTGAGGAATCTGAGAACCAGGGAATCCCTTTTCACCTGAGCAGCAGTGGGTTTCTGTGCCTAGGAACCAAATTACCAAACAGAAATGGCTAGACCTGGCCAGGCGCGGTGGCTCACGCCCGTAATCCCAGCACTTTGGGAGGCCGAGGCGAGCAGATCACCTGAGGTCAGGAGTTCGAGACAAGCCTGGCCAACATGGCAAAACCCCGTCTCTATCTACTAAAAATACAAAAAAATTATCCAGGCATGCTGGTGCATGCCTGTAATCCCAGCTACTTGGGAGGCTGAAATCTCTTGAACACAGGAGGTGGAGGTTGCAGTGACCAAGATCACGCCATTGGCCACTGCAGTCCAGCCTGAGTGACAGAGCGAGACTCTGTCTCAAAAAAAAATGGAGAGACCTGCACTGTTCACCATGGCAGCCATTAGCCATGTGTGGCTATTAAACACCTAACATGATGAATGTGACTGAGGAACTGAAGTTTTTATTCATTTGATTTTAAATGGCTTAAATGTAAACTTAGTCACTTGTGGCAAGTGGCTACACTTACCACAGATAGACAGCATGTCCATCAGTAGGGAAGTTCTGTTGGCCAGCGGTGGCCTAAATCTCACAGGTTGTTCTGAAGCATAAAAGAGCAAATGTGTTTAATGAGCCTTTTGGTAGAGAGTGGGCACTCACTGGGGGGCAGCCACGAGCACTGTGACTGGACACACCCAGTGCAGGTCACAGAGTTATCACAGACAGGTGACTCCACAACACCTGCTTTTCTCATCGTGTGTGTAACTGGCACTCCCTTTATGGAGGGGAGTGCGGCAGAATGTATTATTTCTTTTTTTTGAGACAGAGTTTTGCTCTTGTTACCCAAGTTGGAGTGCAATGGTGCGATCTCAGCTCACTGCAACCTCCACCTCTCGGGTTCAAGCTATTCTCCTGCCTCAGCCTCCTGAGTAGCTGGGATTACAGGCACACACCACCAGGCCTGGCTAATTTTTTTGTGTTTTTAGTAGAAACAGGATTTCACTGTGTTAGCCAGGCTGGTCTCAAACTCCTGATCTCAGGTGATCTGCCTGCCTCGGCCTTCCAAAGTGATGGGATTACAGGCGTGAGCGACTGCGCCCGGCTGAACGTATTCTCTATTTTAAAGGCACATAACCCTTTGATCAAGCTATTTCACTTAGAAAATCTGTCTTACACTGTTACTGTAGTAGGTAGTGTGTGTTCAAAGATGTTTGCTGCAGTGTTGTTTAAAAATATGAAAAGCTGGAAACAGCCCATATTCAGTAGGAGTCCAGCTAGATCGTTTTAGCACAGAATACTGCGGCTAGTGAGGGGATCTCTGTAGGTTAACGTGGAAGCATGTAATATACAAAGTGAAAAAAATGAAGTTGAAAAAAAACCTATAGAAGATGATCCTATTGTTATTTTTTTTAAATCAGCACACAGAACTGTTCATTATGATCACCTGTGACAAGTGGGACCGGGGTGTGAGGAAGTGGGATAAACTTTTAAAACCACGTCACTCCTACTTCACAGAGCCCTTGTGCCACAGGCCCTGCTCATAAAGACTCTGCCCGCCTCAGCCCTGCCGAGCTGGAGGTGGAGTCCTCAGAGGGCTGAGTAGGGAGAGGGCTGGGTGGGGGCAGTGGAGGAACCTGAGGTCCGTTCACATGCAGAGACCCCAGGGGTCCTGAGGCTCAAGCTGCTGTAAGTGGGCCAAGTCCCCACTAATCAGCCTCTCCTTTGGCCATCCTCAGACCGCACGATGCCGAGCGCCGACGACAGGCTCATGGAACAGCTGGCCCTCCTGTGCACCATGCAGTCCAGGGCCTCTGCTTGTGCCTGGAAGGTGCCTGCCGACACCCCCCAGGACACCGAGGAGGCAGGGGCAGGAAGCAGGTGGGACTTGTAGCCAGGCATGGCTCCTGTGGTCCTTTACAACGGCCCCATGGTTTTGTAGCACTGACTGGGCCTACTAAGGGCGGGGCACTCCATGTGCATTTTCTCAGTCACAAGCATCTGATCAGGCAGTCACTCTTATCATCCCCATTTTAGAGATGGGGAAACCGAGGCTCACAGAGGTTGACTCCCTGGCCATAAATGGCAGGGCTGGGACTCAAGCCCTAAAATACCTGCTCTTTCCCCAAACCCAGTGGGAACCCTCCCTTCAATGGGAAGCCATGAGGCCTCCCTGGGAGTAGGAAGGTTATCACATGACCCTGCCCCTCTGGCCACAGCTGATTGGTCCAGCCTGGGGCATGTGACCCCGGCCATGGGATTTGTCAATCTCTGTGTCTCTGTGTAGGGGTGGAAGGGCAACAGCCACCTGTCCTGCCACAGGGAGAAAGGCAAGCTGCAGTGAAGCTGGGAGAGGCAGAGGTGGAGGCAGGGCCCCAGGGTCCTGTAGGGCCCCGCTATATGCCTGCACTCCCAACACTTTGGTTGTTCCAAACTTGAGGAATCTGAGAACCAGGGAATCCCTTTTCACCTGAGCAGCAGTGGGTTTCTGTGCCTAGGAACCAAATTACCAAACAGAAATGGCTAGACCTGGCCAGGCGCGGTGGCTCACGCCCGTAATCCCAGCACTTTGGGAGGCCGAGGCGAGCAGATCACCTGAGGTCAGGAGTTCGAGACAAGCCTGGCCAACATGGCAAAACCCCGTCTCTATCTACTAAAAATACAAAAAAATTATCCAGGCATGCTGGTGCATGCCTGTAATCCCAGCTACTTGGGAGGCTGAAATCTCTTGAACACAGGAGGTGGAGGTTGCAGTGACCAAGATCACGCCATTGGCCACTGCAGTCCAGCCTGAGTGACAGAGCGAGACTCTGTCTCAAAAAAAAATGGAGAGACCTGCACTGTTCACCATGGCAGCCATTAGCCATGTGTGGCTATTAAACACCTAACATGATGAATGTGACTGAGGAACTGAAGTTTTTATTCATTTGATTTTAAATGGCTTAAATGTAAACTTAGTCACTTGTGGCAAGTGGCTACACTTACCACAGATAGACAGCATGTCCATCAGTAGGGAAGTTCTGTTGGCCAGCGGTGGCCTAAATCTCACAGGCTGTTCTGAAGCATAAAAGAGCAAATGTGTTTAATGAGCCTTTTGGTAGAGAGTGGGCACTCACTGGGGGGCAGCCACGAGCACTGTGACTGGACACACCCAGTGCAGGTCACAGAGTTATCACAGACAGGTGACTCCACAACACCTGCTTTTCTCATCTCAGATGTTCCTCGAGGAAGCCGGGCTCCGAGGCCGGGCCAGGCCCGCAGCTGGCCCAGGGCATGAGGCTTAACACAGAGCCCCCCACCATCTTCATTGACCTGCGGCAGACGGTGCCACCAGACCACCTGTCCTCAGCAAGGTCCAGAGGGCAGTGACTACCCCATACCAGCCTCTACTTTGCGGAGCTGCCTGTTGACCTCACAAAGCCTCTGGTGGATCCCAGTGGGGAGGAACAGGGACTTCAAAAGGCTTGGATCACTTCTCAATTGAAAAGTGCTTTTAGCCTGGAACAGAGTCTGGCCTACAGTCCCCCTGGGTCCCTGCAGGGAGGGAAGAAGAGGGGCACGGGGCACACCTCCTCGGGCTGGGCTCTATACAATAGAGTGCATCACCCACACCTGCCCTCACCTCCTGGCAGGGCGTCCACCAGCCTCCAGTGTGGCTGTAGCCCTCTTGCATTTTAGGTCACCAGGAAAGCCCAAGTGCTTCAGGCCCCAACAGGAGCTGGAACACCAGGTGGAGTGGGCACATCCAGAAACCCGTTTCTCTCCCCGCAGCTCCAGCCACAGCTCCTCTGACAGCGAGGAGGAGGAGGAGGAAGTGGAGATGGCAGCTCTGGGAGACGCAGAGGGGGCATCTCCTTCCTCCCTGGGGCTACGGTAACCACCAAGGGGCCTCCGGCCACCTGCAGATGTCCCACCTCCGCTTTCCGCAGCAAGCCCTCCACCTGGCACATTTACCGCCTGTGGTGAGGTCGTGCTGCACCCACCACACAGGGTGGGGGGGCGGCACAGCTTCCATCATCCCGCCCATGTCCACTGGGTCCCAGCAGTGGCAGCGGCGATGGGCCGCCTGAATTGCATTCTTACTCTGAAATGGGAGCCGGGCTTACCTGCTTTTCTCCGTTTCAGTAAGGAGTGCTGGCAGGTGCGGCGCCCACGGGCTTGAGTTTGGTCTCATTGTGTCACAGGAGCTGTACCGGGAAGAGCCAGCTCCTCCAGCAGCTCAGGGCCTTTCGGAAGGGGATAGCCCAGCCCAAGCTGCCCGCCAACAAGGGGCCTGGTGGCAAGAGGGCTCAGGCCCCGGAAGACACGGCTGCATCAGGGACTGTGAGGAAGCAACACATGAAGCTCTGCGCCAAGGGGCAGAGCGCCCAGGCCCGACTCCCAAGAGGCAGGCCCAGGGCCCTGGGGGATGCTCCTGAGCCAGGGGCAGCCAGGGAGGCCCTGATGCCTCCCTTGGACCAACTGTAGCTGCCTCAGGTAGTGGGATCCCAGGAGTGGGCAGGGGTGGGCTGACTTGCCATGGACCATGGGCCCTGGCATCCCCTTGTTGTCCCTGCATTTCCACTAGCAGGGGCATTCCACAGGCAGGGACCTTCAGGCTGTGGACTGTTGCCCACCCTGTTAGAGCTCGGTCACAGATGCGTGAACTTAGAGCAAGGATGCAGATGCAAATCTGTATGTAACGTGTGACAACAGCTTTGGGAGAAAGGGGCCTGGTCCTCTGAGGCAGAGGGGCAGGGACAGCAGGAGGACGGGGTGCTGCTCTCTGCGGGACTCTGGGACTCTTCGTCTGTCTCCAGGTCTGCATTTTTTTAAGCAGGCATCTAGTATTTCCATCAATAAAGTCTTTTTAAAAACCAAGCAAAACATATTTAGAGGATTTCAGGGTTGAAAAAGACCTAAGCCTTATTTTCTGGCTTCCTGCCTACTTGCTATTTTGGGCACCTAAATTAACACACAACACATATGCATGCCTACCCACATAGACCTAATACACGTATTTTTTTTTTTGTCTCTTTTCGAGACACAGTAGCTGGGACTACAGGTGCATGCCACCACGCCTGGCTAATTTTTTTTTTTGTAGAGATGGGGTCTCACGATGTTGCCCAGGTTGGTCTCAAACTCCTGGGCTCAACCCTCCTGCCTAGGCCTCCCACAGTGCTAGGATTACAGGTATGAGCTGCTAGCCTGGCTCTTAATGAACTTTTTGGAAGAGGAGTAACGAGAATTTGCTTTCTCTTTCTCTTCTTTACCTAAGATAGAAAGGCATACATAGATTCTCAAGGCCTTTGCCCTTTATGAATCTAGAGAATACTGGAAACCCCTGGAAATGCTATCCCGTGGAGAATGGAGCAGCAGCCTCACTTGTTGATCACCAGCAAGAGCTGGGGACAGCTGCTTGCCCCGTGCCAAGACCTGGTCCCTCCACAGGACATGCCTGGTCTTCCTGGGTCCTGTTCCTTTGCCAGCACTGTCCTGCAGCCCTGTATTCACAGGATGCTTTTATAACTGCTATGATCAGTCCTGACCTGGCCACCTGTGTGTCTCCCCAACCTTGTCTCCAGGATGTGTCCCGCTGCCTGCCCCATGGGAAGAACAGAGAAATCATCATCACCTCAGGCCCCACAGCGCCATGGGCTCAGGCAGCACAGCAGGGTGCCAGGCCTTTGGGCCAGTGTCCCAGCTTCTCCTGGGGTTCACCCCTCGCTGCCATGTCGCCAAGGATGGGCAGGGGTCTCTTTGCATCAAGCCTTGTGCCAGGCAAAAGACAGGCCCTGCCTGGCTGTGGTCACTGGCCGCCAAGATCAGGGCCACAGACGTCTACTCTCCAGACCCCATGTGATCTGGCCACTGGGGATCCCCACCCAACCCCACTCCCAATGATGAGGGGTGTTTTCGTTACAAGTCAAAGGCAAGACAGGCTTCCATAAAGTCCCAGGAGGTTCCTCCTGCAGGGCACAAGGCCAGGCTGCCTCCCAGCCCTCAGGCCCTCTCCCACCTACAGAGACCCTCCTCTGCCCCTCTGCTCTGGGACATGCGCACCCAGAACAGGCCTCCGCTTGGCTGCCTAGCTGTCAAGAGCAAAGGCTTTTTTTTTCTTCAACCCCATTTTCTTCCATTTCCACCACCTTTTTAATGCCAGTAACCTCATCGAGAATGTTTTACAGTGATGGAAAATAAATTCTGTTCCAAGTTCAACTCTGTGAATTACTGTGTCTGTCAAGGCAAGGGGAGTGAGGCAGGAAGTCAGACTTGGGTCCAAAGCTGGCTCTGCCACCTGGGCAAGGTTTTCATGCTCCCAGTGATCCGGTTCCTCCACCCACTGAAGGAGAATCATGGCCGGGCGCAGTGGCTCACGCCTGTAATCCCAGCACTTTGGGAAGCCGAGGTGGGTGGATCATGAGGTCAGATGAGGTCAAGACCAGCCTGACCAACAAGGAGAAACCCCCGTCTCTACTAAAATACAAAAATTAGCAGGGCGTAGTGGTGCATGCCTGTAATCCCAGCTACTCAGGAGGCTGAGGCAGGAGAATCACTTGAACCTGGGAGGTGGAGGTTGTGGTAAGCCGAGATCATGCCATTGCACTCCAGCCTGGGTAATGAAGCTAGACTCCATCTCAAAACAAAACAAAACAAAAGAGAGAATCATGGGGGTCCCCCCACTGGACTGCATGAGATAACATTACAGCACACGCAGGCACCTGGGACTCACAGCTCCTGCAAAACTCCCCCATCACGTGAGTGCTGAGGATGACGCCCATGAGATGGGGAGTTTTGCTGTGGTTTCCACAGCTGCCCTACGACTTCTGAGATGACTAAACCCACCCATTAATGACTGTATCACACTGCTCGTCTCGGCCACTCACCACCGTGGATGTGTACAGACCAGCAGTTCCCACACAGCACAGGGAAAGACAAAAGCTGGAAGGTGAAGGCTTCTTACCTTAGAAAGACAAAGTGGGACAACCACGGAAGGCCACATCCCAGACACTAAGGGGCGAGCAGCAAAGGTAGCCCTGGGCCCCTGCCCTGGGGAGGTGTCAGGCCCGTCACATCCCTGGCGACAGGTCAGGAAGATGGAATTCAGGGGTGCCTTCCCACCCCAGGCGTCTTCCACCCTGCAAAGCAGCCATGGATCTGCAAAGGGGACTGGAATGCTGGAAAGCCCCAGGCTCCATTTGGAAACTCTGGCAGGATGAAGAAGCTGGAGACCATGTCCTGTGAAGGCTGGGGTGCAGCACGGCTCCCTGCAGCAGACTAGGGAGGGGCCCCTCAAATTCATGTCCACCCAGACAGGTGACCTTGTTTGGAAACACGGGTTTTGACGATTTAATTAGTTAAAATGAGGTCACAGTGGATTGGGGGACCCTAAACCCAGTGAGTGGTGGCCCTATCAAAAAGAGACTGGGCATGGCAGCGCACACCTGCAACCCCAGATACTCAGGAGGCTGAGGCAGGAAGATCGCTTGAGACCAGGGGTTCGAGGCTGCAGTAAGCTATGATCATGGCACTGTACTCCTGCCTGGGGGACAGAGCAAGGCCCTGTCTCAAAAAAAAAAA